CATGGCTTTTTCAGCAAGCGGGACTGACCTAGGGTGAATTTTAAATAGGGACAATTTTAATGATTTTAATAAGACACAGCTATAAATATTTGGTTTTTAATTGGCTTTTATAGGGGAAATGTTTTGTGTTGTTTTAACATGCTGTGAGCCGCCCTGAGTCCCGTGGGGAGAAGGGCGGCATATAAGTTAATGGAAATAAGAAATAAATAAATAATATCCTGAGCTTCTTTAATGGAATTGATGCTGAATTTTATAACTGCTGCAAGACTATTAGTAGCTCAATATTGGAAAACGGAACGTTTACCTACAATAGAAGAATGGTCACTTAAAGTCTCGAACTTAGCAGAAATGGCCAAGATTTCCGCTTATGTGAAGGTTCACTCGCAAGATAGATATATTTTGGTTTGGAGAAGATGGATAGATTATATTGAGCGTAAATATGGGATTAAAAAATATCATTTGGTTTTTGAGTAAATTTTAGAGTATTATGGTTGTATAAAAGTTAGAATATTTTATTTGGTATTATTTTTAATTATTAAAGTGTTGTTATTATTATTGTTTTTAATAATTGTACTGTTTAAAAGAGAGCTAAAGGAGGTTATAGATATGTTATTTTAATAGTTGATTAATGTCAATTAGAGTATGATTATGTTATTGTTAACCCTGTGATTGGCACTGGGAAGTGAGGGGGGAGGGAGGGGGGGTGGAAAGGGGGGAAGGGGAAAGGGGAGGATTTATATTGTAAAATTTTATAAAATTTTTAATAATAATAATAAATAATAATAATAATAATATCCTGAGCTTGACCCCCTCTCCCGTTTTGCCTTCGGCAGGATCCGGGGCTCAGCCTGGCCAGCATCGACGTCGAGGCGCCCCTGGTGTTCGCCTTCAACCTGTCGGACCTGGGCCGGAAGACCCACATCCTGGAGCTTCTCCCCGCCGTGGAACCCCTGGAGAACCACATCCGCTACGTGATCGCCCAGGGCAACCGGGACGCCCACTTCCACATCCAGCAGAAGGAAGGGCTGAGTTACCTCCACCTGGGCCGCAAGCCGGCCGGCCCCGGGACCTACCTGTTGCAGATCGTCAGCGTGCCCGTCTCCCGCCCGCGAGAACTGCAGAAACTGGAGGCCGGCAAGGAACTCAACTCCGCGGCGGACGGAGAGATGGGCCACGCCCTGAAGATGAAGCTGCAGCTTCACCTCTTTTAACCCCGTCTCAGAGACCCTCCCCCCCCCAAAAAATAATAATAATAACAACCCGGGCCCAGGCTGTACCACGCTCCGTTCGGACCCTCCCCAGCCCTGCAGCTCTTCCAGCGTCCGCCCTCTGCCACCCGGGGGCTGGAAGGTGGGGGACAGCCCGGGATCCGGACCACAGCCCTCCTGTTGACCCCAGCCCAGTATTTGGGTTCCTCTGCACCCCCTCACCCCCCGTTCTCCTCTCTGCCCTGCCGCCTTCCAGTCTAGGAGCCACTGTTGGAGAGCTTCAAAGGACACTCCCCCGGGGTCTCTCCGCCTGGACCTTCTCCATTTCATCTTTCCTGCGCTTCCCCTGGCTTTCACGGGTGACGCGTGGAGGTCTGGCATCCAGGGGCCGAACCCAAGGAAAGCCTTTCGGCTCCAAGAACAGCCCCCCAAGTTTCCTGTCCGGCGTGCCTCGAACCCAGGACGACCAGGCGCTCTTCCTTGTCCTCTGGCAGAGCGGAGCCTGCAGTCTTGTGCCCCAGAAGGAGGAGGAGGCCGCTAAGAGGGCATCGGGCGACCGTGCAATTGAAGCGTGCCTCTTTTTGCCCACGGCGTGTGACCCCAAAAGGCGGGGGCGTCGTTCTTGACTTTTTTGACCCCTACCCTGCAGACCTTCTGCTTTTTAACCCCCCACCCCCCCAGCAAGCCAGCAGGGTTGTTAAAGCGATCTCTCTGGAGGGAGAGTGGAGGCCACCCCGCCTCTGTTTTATGCCGGTGCCAAGTCTGGAGTCCGCTAACCGAAGCGGCAGAGATGCGCCTGAAATATTAAGCGGAACGGTCGTCCAAAGGAACAAATGCTCTTATTCAGAGG